TTTGCTATTTTTCTCATAGTACCCAAGTGTTTCATAAGTTTCGATATCAAACGGATGCTTTACTTTTGCAAGTTTTTGGCCGACAACGAAGGTTGAGGTTGTAGAAATGCTTGTTGGCTTGATTTCTGCCTTTCGGTCTGCAGGAATATCCTTTTTTAAACAGATCTGGAATATTTTTTTAATGTCAGGGCTGGAATGACTGTAAATTGGAAGCCTTTTTCACCCCTGTAATGGACAAGATTAGGCAAATCAATGTCAAATGAGTAAGACGTATTATCATTTTCACTGTCTCATGAGTTGACTGATTCGGGATCACTGGAAAATGTGATAATTTTCTTCGCTGTTTCCTCTTTTTATTGTTGGAAAAAAGATTTCATCGTCCTCCGTGAGATCCACAGTTTAGTTCTCTCGCGCTTTTTTCTTCTTTTCGTCGTTTCCCGATAAATTAGTTTTTCTTTTGGACATCTAGAAAAGCGGGTCATTTTTGTTATGTAAGTGCTCCTGTTTCTGCTTTTTTCTAGTCAGATGCCTTAAAACAGTTACGCATGCAGTTAAATATTAGTTTTGGATTGTCATCTTGATTACTGATGATTGACATTCTTGCATGACCCTTACCATGACCAAATTAGTTAGTAGATAATAATACCTTGTCACTTGAAGTACACTAGCTCACCGGCTGATAATATTTTCATATTGTGTTCAACTCCATTCAATAATTGTTACGTATTATGCTAGCCTCATCGAGTAATTGTATAAAGTATTATAGGAAAAATTAAACCTTGAAATAACCTATTGGAATAACTGTCCAAAATTAAAGGCGTGTGCATGTGAATCTAGAATTCTCCATTACAATTTACATAAACAACGTGTCATATATTAAGGTAATGTTTCGCGAATATTTCACTCAATTTAAAATAAAACATTTGCTAAAAAAGGATTTGGTGAGATCCTGAGGGGAATTCCCCTGTCTCCCGGTTCTCCCATTCCACTGTTCCCTGTTCCCCGGAAAAAGTCTTGTGCAGCCCTACTTCGATTACTGCTCGCCCCTGTGGGATACTTGTGGCAATCTGCTCAGAGATTTCAATTTAGTTGCAAAGAGTTCAGTTTCGTGCAGCGAGGGTTTTAACAGTGCAAATTATGAACCTCTTGAAACTAGACGGTCTGGTGCTAAGTCAGTATTAATGTACAAGATACTTAATAACCATACTGCGCCCGCTCTTCGGGAGTCTTTCGTGAGAAGAGAAATAGGATCCCAAGGCCGAATCGAGAATACCTTAAAAAAGTTTCAAATATAGCCGCGCTATGCTTTGGAATCGGCTCACAAACGAAGCAAAATCAGCTGAGTCGCTCGTTAGTTTAAATCAATTGTTGTTGCACACTGAAATGCGTCCTAGTTACCTGTGTGTGAAACCTATACTGTATTCTTATTAACTGTCTTAATAATTAAACACGCCCCTCGTGGAACCAGCCTAGAGTTGATGGGGCTGGCATGTTTCTTGCGATTTCCACGTTTTCATGCGATTTCTACTTCTGTTCGTGAGCTTTCGTTCGTGTTCATAATTTTTTGATTCCTGTTCACTCGTGTTCGTGATCTTTGGTTCGTGTTCATGATTTTTTGACTCGTGTTCATTCGTGTTCATAATTTTTTTATTCGTGTTCACTCGTGTTCGTGATCTTTGGTTCGTGTTCATGATTTTTTGACCCGTGTTCACTCGTGTTCATTCGTGCTGATGATTTTTTAACTGGTGTTCACAAGCGTTCATATTTCTTGAGTCGTATTCTGACTCGTGTCCACTGGTGTTCATTCGTGTTCACTCGCGTTCTGACTCGTGTGTTGTTTTTGAACAGATCATGGCAAGAATCGAACCTACGCTTTTGCGATGCCGGTGAAATGCCCTTGCCATTGAGAACGTATATTTGACTCATTTTTCCATCCACTGTTCCTGGCTTGAATTTGAAGTGTGTATAATACCACTCGAAATTAAGACCTTTTAACCTATTTGATTCTTGATAATACAATCGCGTTCTTCCAACAGCTCCGTTTTAACCGTGTACTTAAGGGTAGACGGCTTGGTAAAGGGGACAATAAAACCTGACACGAGTGGGTCATTTTGGTATGACCAAAGCTGGTTCAGGATACTTAGAACATATCATCGTCGTCGTCATCATCATCTCTGCCTTTGTTTTCCTTCACATGTTCACATCGTTTAAAAACTTCTTAATAAGAAACTTTCGCTTATCAACGGCACCTTCTATTGCTTCTTCTTGGTCAAAATCATCATTTGTAATAAACATATTTTCTTATGTACCGGATCTTTCTTCAGTTGTCTCATCCACAAATGGCGCTTTAAATAGATATTTTCTAATTCTTCCTGGAGTCTAGCATAGCATTGAAGTAAGCTTTCTTTTTAGCATAGTCCTCATCAAAACCACTGTTTATAAGGCTTTCTTTCATTTCCTCGAGTACTGTGTTACTTCTATGTTATGCTTCTTCTATTAACGGCATCCAGGGATCCAATTCTTCTTCACTTCTGAGTCCATTGTCGTCGAACTTCCAGATTGCTGAGTGGAAGTGGTCGAGACATCATCTTGGAAATCACTTTCTTGACTGTCCGAGTCTGTTTGAGACATGTTTCTTTCTTGTTCTCGTAGTAGGCAATACTCCCGTTCGGGTCTGCGCTGATTGTAACTGCGGCTGAAATATCTTCTGCAAAATTGGCAGCTCATCCCCTTAGCACTAGAAGTGTGTAAATGCCTTGTTATCGAGCAGCAACGCAGTTTTATGAGCAGATGTCTGCTCATGTGTAGTTATGAGGATGTGCTAATCTGCTCAACGGTACTTTTTCCTAGTCCAGTACATTCACACAAACTAAAATGTTAGCAATCCCTTATGTACTTTCTTCGTTTCCCCCTAGATAGAGGTTGTTCGTTTGCAGTGCTTAGGTAAACATTAAAGTTTCTCTCCATCTCTTCTTGATAATAAATTTCTCTCCATCGCGCTCTAATAAATTTTCCAGACACTCCTCCATATCGAATTCCTTTGGTTCTTTACTCTGTCGAGGTACACATATTCCTTTCTTACTCCACTTTAACCATCTCTTGCGTTCCTCTGTGCCCATATCGTGTACTTGGTCGAGATGATTTGCTAACCTTGCTAAATTTGTACTACCACAGCTAAACACAGGACAGCTCCTACGAGTGCGACGCATATTTAGATGATTGCTCAACAAATTCCTAATAATAATTGGCTCATTTTTTTCGTAAGTCAGGTATTTTATTAGGCCCGTTTGGGCCCTATATGGCCTTATATGGCACTATTAGGCCCGATGGCCCGATTGCTGCATGACTAGGCGTCCTAACCCGGACAAGTCCGGGCTTTTCAATGCAAACTCTTGCTTACAGAAGAAAAAGTCAAACGATCTAAACAAGAAAACAGTGTAGTGCCCGGACAATATGTTTAAAATATTTGTAAAATTGTTCTACTTAATTACATTGTTACAAGCGTTAATACGTGTCTTAATTTATGCTTCAAGCATCGCGTTGTCCATAAACACCAATATATTTTCGATTCGCTCTAAAAATGCACACATTTTCGCATTCGCAATACCCCCCTTTTTCCTCCCTTTGAGGAGTTTGGGCCTGAAATATCTCATTGAGCGGATGAGCATCTGCTCATGAGCATTTATGAGCATGTGCTCATAGGCCCGTTTGGGACTTATATGGCCTTATATGACCCTATTAGGCACGATGGCCCGATTGCTGACTGCATGGGCATCTTAACACCCGAATATGGACAAATATTCGATTAAACATTGGGAATAAATGCTCCCTTAGAACATTCCTCTGCAACACTGCAAATCTTTACGTCGTATACGTACACATCTTTTTATTATATGTATACGAATATAACGCCCATACGATATGTGACCTTCAACGGGAAAACGTACGTTAACGATATTTCGTTGAAACGGCAAAACGAACGGATAACGAACGGGTAGTGAACGATCTGTATAACGTTTCAACGAACCCAGAAAACGTTTTGACGAATTCAGCTAAAAATGTGAACGTTTAAAGTCGAGAATACGAACGGATAAATAAACGTTCAATCTGAAGCCGTTTGAACGATTTATGTTTATGAACGGTTTTAACGAATTTGTCTGAACGCCTGTTGCGCGTATAATTGACGCAAGATATTATTGACTAATTTATCTAATTAAAAGAATAGGAAATATTTTCAAACAAGTAACATGTGTTGTTCCAAGTATGTGTGTACATAAATAGCTATACCTTCATTTGAATGTTTAACTAAAATTATTAGCTATACTACCTAAATCCCATTATTTTATACTTTATATACACAGCAAAAATTGTCATTCTTGATTTAAGAAAAAAAATGCTTGCTTTGAGCAAAATTTTGCTCAAAGCAAGCAAATACATTCTTGTCCGTATAGTAAGAATATTATTCTTGCATAGAATATTATTCTTGTTTCAAGAATTATATTCTAGGCAAGAATATTTGTTCTTGATACAAGAATATATTCTTGATATAAGAACATTTTTTCTTGCGAGAATAATCCTAGAATGCAAGAACATTTTTACTTGTTACAAGAAATTTTTTTCCTAAATTAAGAACAATGAGAAAGCACGTATTCTCAAAATAAGAATGAAGGTTAAGAATATATTCTCAATTTAAGAAAGGGTTTTTTTGGGTGCAGGTGCGCGGTACATGCAGAAATGCTTAATATAAATATAAATACTGTTTTCATTCAAGAACATCGTAGTTCTCTTTAAAATTTATTAATATATCTGCTAAAAGCACCAGACAAACCAATTTCTACACTAATACAAAAGGCCAAAAAGTAAGTTACACAAAGTGCATGCAAGTGCAACCAATATGCGCAAAGCGCATTTTGTTTCAATTAAACCTGACATTCAGTTCTACACCGTACTGTTCAATTCATAGCTAGAAGAGCCAGAGGGCTTAGGCATTCCAAACAAACGGCAATGATGAGGCAATGATGGCAAACGTGATATGTTCGAATTGAATTGCATGATAATTTGTTTGAGGCCGCCGGAATGAAAATAAAAAGCGAAGAAATGATGCCCAAATTTTATGCAAAAAATCAACTCAGCCTGTCTTCAAATGCGAAGCTCAAGCCCTCTATTTCTTGACAATGTATATTAACCTATCACACATTGCATTAAAGTTTAAAAATCGTCAGATGAGTTCTGCTTGAACTTCAAGTAATCCTCTTTGGCAGACTCAAATGAGTTATACAGGTCTGCAGGGGTGTTCATATCGTGAAATAATAAGCTGTGGAGCATAGTTAGACCTAGCTCATGAGATTTTGGATAATCCACATCAATAAGATAAAATAATCCGATTAATGCCAAGACTGCTTGCATTATATTCCTTAGTTCCACTGTGAAAATAAGGGTACCTTGGCAGACGAGGTAGGCTGATGTCTTATCCAGACATAACAAAGGAATACCTTTACCTTGTCGTCGGCTACAAACTGTCTCTGGATCCTCGTGATCCTAAGTAGAAAAACATTAAATGAAACATTTTCATCATAAGCAAAGGCCGTGTAGCATGCCAATAATGATTACTTCTCTTATTCCGCTATCAAAGTAACAATTACCTTAATCACATAAATAAGCTCAATGAGCTTCTTGGCAGACTTATTTAGCTTTCCATTGCCAAACAACAAGTGCAAATTCTTCATAAGCTGTACAACTTTGGAAACTGTAACAATAAACATTTTTATTCTTAGTCATTGTGCACAATAAGAAATGAACAATGCATACAGCACAGGCACAACACAACTGTTCATATATCTTACATACTGTATAAGCAATTGCAAAATGACAGATTTTGAAATATATACACTTACCCTTTCCAGGTTTTTTAGGGAGCTCCATCCTTTGCTTTGAGCAACCAAAATATAACATTACATCCAGCTCTTCTTTCAATCTCATGACACATTCATTCATAAATTTCTTGGGATCATTATTGGCAGCTTTTTCATTAATCCGGCGCACCTCTTCAATAATCTAGCAAAGATATGTTTTAACATCATATGTTTTTCGTCTGATGTTACATCATATAGCAGTGTCTATGATCATTCTTATCACAGATCACAGACATTAGATATTGTGAATACAAAATAGGATGCATTGCATGTACCATAATGTGCATAACAACAGTTTTAAAATTCAGAGGGAATGGGTTTGTTTGAAATAGCATACTAATAGAGTAACCTAAATTAAATGTTCAAAGCCAGTGTATTCTAAAAAATAAACAGCCTACCTCTACAGGGTTTTTAAAGCATGGATACAGCTCAAACAATCTTGAGCATCTTTCTGTTGCTGGCATTTTCTTGATACGGGCTCGTCTTGATTTAAACTCTTGGTTTAAGTATGAATTAATTACATTGGGCGATGGCTTGCTTTTTTGCATCTCTTTTGACAAAGAATTGTATAATCTGCCCATAATCATATCATCCATGCCATGACAGATGACTCTGAACCTGAAAATAAGAAACAATACATCAGCGAAGCCGATAAGGACATGCATTCATTACTGTAAGGACATGAATTCAAAGACAAATGGACAGACAGTACATACATACATAGATTGTTGTTCTACTTACTGTTGCTACTTCCAGCTTCAGCATTGCTCTGCTGTGCACCAGTGCTAATATCAGTCATGATTGGATCTACATCGTTGGATTGCTGGTCTTCTGGACATTCAGTGGTTTTAATATAACTGGTTATCTTGTTGCTGGCTTTTTTCTTATTGGGCCCCCGCTTGTTCTCAACTGTCTTCTTGTTATACATTCTCTTCTTCAGGCGGTTAAATAAACGTTCCTGAAACAAGGAAAATCTGTTATAAATAAAAACTCAATATCTCCAGTCCACAAAGCTAATTCACATTATTGAATAGACCTGTTGTGTCAAAGTTAACATACAACATATAGAATACTGGTAAATATGTAGTAGCTTATCACAATATTTATATATAACGCTTACATGGCCATTCACTGGATCAGATAGCATGGATACGTCACACAAGACTTTTTGCATTTTCCTTCAGCTCCATTGTAGTGGGCAATCGATTCCATGGGTCACACAAGGTCATGGATTCATGTTGCTGACTGTTCCCGCACATGTCATGGACCAAATGTTCTGGTATACTACCACTTTCCACAGCCAAGTCACCCGTCTGTCACGGTATATAGTGAAGACTGGGGATTTCACTTGAAATGTTGCTGGTGGGGTTGCTGGAGTAGGCTTTGCTTCTTTTTGTTGAAGGCCCGGCTTTTGTAAGGCCCTTATCATCTGTTGATGATGATGAGAAAGTATCATCTTCTGACAAGTCATATGATTATCCACACAGACTGCCATATCAATTTTTCGCTTTTCGACCAAAGCCTTTGTTGTTGGATGAGATTTATCAGTTGGTGCTTTCTCAGTTTCCTATTACAAAGTATATTATTAATTATATTAGTCTAGTCTAAATAATATTCTCTGTTGCTCTCACTTGATACTGAATACATTAACATTTTAAAAGATTGTATTAACAATATTATTTTATACCTGAGATATTACTTTCCAGATGCGTGACCGCAGTAAAATCAATTTCATACCATCGCCAGGAATAATTTCCTTTAATGCATCATAACACAGTTCCTTGACATCTTCATTTGTGAGGCCACCCTCTGAAAATTACACAGGTTAGAAATATAATGTAAACTACACACGCATACAAATGTTCTTAAATTTAGCACACATGTTATAAATTTGCATGGGCAGCCAATCTAATTTATACCTCCTGGGGCCGGTTGTTCGTAAGGCGTTTAACTTATGTCGAAATTTTAAAATACGGGTGTCCAAGACCATACATAGCTGGAATTGAATGCCTAAGCACCACAAGTGGATAAATAAATGTTTGACATAGCATTTTATGTATGATCAAGGCAGTGAAATTTGTTTGTATACCCACAAATGACTTTAATACCAATATGCTTTACAAATATGGATAACAATATTTCAATTTAGAACTTAAGCAACATGTTAATCTCCACAACCACTAACAATGGGTGATTTTAATAGTTTTGGGGGTTTTTTGAGTACTCTTGTGAATGACTGAACCTACATTTTATGCATATAAATGATATAATATGTATAACCATTGAAAGTTGAGCTATTTGTCCAATAAGAGATAATTTTGCTTTCCATTTTCAGCTTATCCTAAACGCCTTTCGAACAAGCGGCTTTATTAAGTACAGGCCCTGGGCTGAAATTATCCATTTGTCCTTAGTCTATTTTTAGATTCAAAATGTGACCCGTGCGAATATAAACAGGGGACCCCCGAATATGACAAAATGAAGTGCTTTTAATTCTGTAAAATATGACATAGCTTTCTCAAAGAATTGTTCTATTTCCATTTATAATAGCTTAGTTTACACTCGATCGCAGAAAATATACTTTATCTGTCAATTCGTATGATACGAAGCAAGTTAGGCGCACAAATCTGATTGCATTACGATGACGGAATCGGTATGAATATTCGTTTATATCGCGGCAAAATTTAAATTTGTATCGCGTTGCGAATTTAACATATGTATGCGCGACAATTCTTAACTATTATAACATAAAATAAGACATATATACTTACCCTTAAACTATCTGCGACGTCTTTATCAATCTCGGCATTTTCCCTAGTATCGTTCGACATTTCTGAATTTTTGCGATAACAAACTTCGGAGCGCGTGGTAAGTTTTAAGTGAAGTGTAAGTAAGCCAGTAACATGAGAAATGCGCCGCCGCACCGCCTGACCAGCGAACTCTAGACCCAACATGCTTTGCAGGGATGATTTTATTTTGGAAAACTTCAATTTCAATTTTCAAAGTCTCTGTTATTTTACAACTTGTTGCGAGGAATTTTCGGTTAAGAATATGCTTTTAAAATGAAAAGAACCCGTCATATAAATGAAAGGCGTTGGGAGTGTAGATTGTGTAATGTTTCCAAGCAATTTCACTACGAACGTTGCTTAATCACTATAATAAAGTTCATGGAAATGAGCCTAATTTTCAAGTAGTTTGTGGCATCGAGAATTGTCCAGCACATTTACGAAATATAATTCGTTATACAAGCACATCACCAGATCTCATAAGGAAGTTTATGAAACTCTTGCCATCCTCCATGAAATGTTAACAGTTCTCGTACAAGTTGTTGATGGCATGTTGAATATAGGCAGTGGTATAGATAGAATGATGGCAGTTTTTACTGTGCTGTCCAGTGAATTATCTAAATACATGGTATCTCTTCACAAAACATAACACATGTTCTAGCCAATTAAAGATGATGCAATGGTTTGAACTAGATATACTCTCTGTGAAGACTATTATAAGCTTTCAATATAGCACCTGGCAATTGTGCTAGAGAAATATCTTGCTCAGGCTTATTTTTGCATTTGGTTTCCACAAGTGTTCATTGTACAGTACTGTCTAGTAATATTATGTGCACCACAAGTAGTATGATTAATTAAGTGTAAAATATTTATGTGATTTTAGAATGTTGACAATATTGACATTACAAAGAGTGCTGCCTCATTTCTCTTAAAGGTGAAAGAAAGGAATAAAATCCTCAGGTGTGTATAAATACTTTATTGATGAAACTTTGGTGCAGTATAGTATAACCCAACCTATGTCCCTGTTTGAATAAACTAATTGGTAAATTGCTTTAATTGCTAAACATCTAGAGTCAGTTGAACAAAAAGTGGATAGTGCTATCCACTGATAATGTTTTTCAATCTCTCTGAATTGCCTGTTATTTGCTATAATTCAAATATGAAGTAAAATTCAAATTGAATCTTAACTCTGTATTCCTTATTTTGTAAAGTACATAGCATGATATATAATCTCTCCTTGAAGAGTCAAATTGGTGTGGTTTTAGAAACTGTGTACGCCTCATATAATATGATACTACATATTAATATGTTTTAGGTTGCAATGGAATACTATAATGGACAGTACACGCACACTGGTAAAGCAAGTGGTAGGTGAAAGCGGAAGTTTTAAAATGTGTTAGATTCCAGTGAACCAAAAAGGCCAGGTGAGAAATGTGTTTGAGTCAGCTACAGATCCTTTTTTGGGATAGAAACCGAAGCACTACAGTCAAAGTACATCAAGCAAAACTTCAGTTATGTGGAACCAAAGGAGGTAACTTTAGGGAAGAAATTTGTTTGGAAAATAACAGTGGTAAGAGACTTATTTCTGAGAAAAGTGAGAAATTTGTGTACATTCCAATACTTGAAGCATAAAACAGATCCTCTCAAATAAGCGCATCTCTACTATTCTTCTGAAGAAACCTAAGTGCTGTCAAGATGGGTATTATATTGTACATGATGGCCTTTTGTATCAAAGTGATCACTATTTTGATGAACACGAGAACACATTGTGCATTGCTATTGTATCATGATGAGCTAGAGGTGTGTTCCATTAGGCAGTAATGCTGGGGTACACAAGCTAGACATGTAATTTTACAATTGCAATTTATGCCAAAGTTCAGATCCAAGCGCTGTGCTGTCCACTTATTTGCAATTGCCAATGCTGATTTGGTAAAGAAATATGGTATTAACACAGTAATGCAGCAGTTATTGATGATTTGACATTCTGTATCAAGGATGCAAAATGGAGATCAATGGTGTGGAAAAAGTTATCCATGGGAAGGTATTATTGTTGCGGGTGACCACACTTGGTCAGCATTCTTTTGGGCGGATTCAGAAGGTGTTGGTGTAGCTTTCCAAAAATGTCGGCATTGTCAGTGCTCATTTGAACAGATGCAGACTGACTTCTTGGAAGAAGAGTTCAATCTAAGAACAGAGGACTACAGTGAACAGTTTGATGCATTGAACAGGCACCAACTCCAAGTGTCCAAAAAGATCTAAGAACGACTTATGGACTAACACAGAGAAGTTCCCTTTGCCAGCTACCCACATTGATGTCACACAGCAGCTCCCCCAGGATATCATGCACACTCTGCTTGAAGGATGTTGTGCAGTATGAGGGTTCGACTAGTTCTTCTTCATTACCTACAATCGGGTCAAACCAGTCTATCTGAAATCAATGGAGCCATAATTTATCCATGAATATGGATACTCAGAGATCAGCGACAAACCAACTCCCCTGAAGGATACTGTTTTCATGGTGAAGAAAGATACAAGCTTAAGTACAATGCTGCAAAAGCTCGCTTTTTTACGACTCTTGCCATTTTTCATTGGTCCTTTTGTTGACAGCAATGGTCCGCATTACCAGTTCCTCATACAATTGATTCAGATTGTTCAATTGATTTTCTCACCAGTAATTAAATTGGAGAACATTGACTACTTGGCAGAACTTATCCAACAACATCTGACCACATTTAAAGATTTGTTTCCAAACTGTAACATAATCCCGAACAACACTATTTGCTCCATATCCCGTCTACAATTAGA